TTATACCTTAATGAATGGATCAAATTAGCATGCGGCATTTCATATAAGAAAAATGAACCATTACTAAATCCAACAACTAATATATGAGTATCTTGATGATAAGCAGCTGTAGTAAGTTTTGCATCTTTACTTTGCTTATGAACTTCGTCTGCTAAATAGAAAGTAGCTTGCTTTTTATAGCCCAACATTTTGATTTTTTTGTCTTTCTCTTTCATAGAAACCTCTTCTTTATCATTTTGTGGCAAATCGTCTAGAAAAAAAAATGCACATATTTTTATAAATTATTATTATACATGTAATATATGCTACTATATATACAATACAGTAAAAATTATTTTTTTTAATCAACTACATTCTAGTCAGTTTTATAATTATTTACAAACAATATTAAATTCAGGAATTTCATAGAATGAAATTTAATAAAGAAATTATAAAGAAATTTTCTCACCCGAGTCTAATAATTTCTTTTCGGCATAAGCCTTTTGCTTTTCAGTTTTCTCTATAACTTTCTCTATATCTATGTCATCCTCGCTATCACTATCTTTAGGTTTTTCTTTTTTTGAAGGCGGTTCCCATTCAACCAAATCATCTGGTTCAAGTGTACATTCCCAGACACACACTCGACCATTTCTGTAAAAGAAATCTTCCGAAATAAATAAGCGAATTCAAGTTGTATAAGATTATTGTGCAAAATTTCTTGTCAGCAAAAATAATTATACAATAAATTTAAACTAATACAATGTAAGTATGTTAAATTGTATCACTTACTTGCTAATAGTGTACACATCATATTGTTTTGCTTCAAAGAAACATGCCACAATTACATCAGAATGACCACCCAATGTAATCCATCTAAAGTTTGCCCATTTTTGTAAACTGTATATTTTTACAGTAGTATCCTTTGAACCAACCGCTAATAGTTTCGAGTCAAAAGACCAACTAACGCATGTTGTCTCAGCAGTAGCTCCATGAAACGCATGTTCCATAATAAATGGATTATAATCCCCTGTTTGTAAACCAGGTGCATTGAAAATGAATACTGAAATACAAAAGCAATATATATTATTTTACATATATGTTATATTTTCGTTAATACATTTTTATAAATTTAGAATAGTAAATACTTACCACCGCCTCCTTTACAAACTGCAAAATGTTTTCCATCTGGAGAAAACTTTACACGCTTAGGATGTCCTTTAAATCTGTATTTATGTAAAATTACTTTGCTTATTAAACTAATAATATGAGTTTCGCCATCTGCAAGTATATTATAAAGCTGTGATTTCTCCTATAAATATTCCTTCATAATAAATATAATACTCCCTCAAATAGTATTAAATAATTTTTAGTAATGTGTACAAAAAGAAGTCTTCTTACCTGTATTAATCGCTACTAATATATTTCCATTTGGCGATACATCAATCGTAATATAATTAAATCTGCTCTCAACAGGAAGTGTCATAGATTTATTACTAAAAAATCATTTTATACAATATTTTGTAATAATTATTATCATATAAAATTTATGTTTTTTTTAAAGTTGCATGATTTACAGTAAAATTAATACTTTTATAATTACATACTTTTTTAAATCAAAAATTGTGATTCGGTTGCCCACAGGGCTAATGACTGATGATCCATCTGGAGTAAAGTGTAAATCTCCTTTACGATAAACTGTGCCAAGTAAATTACTGAACTGTAACAAAAATGGAAAGCATTTCACTGTAATTTATAAATATATATCTCATGTATACATATATATATATATTACATGAAGATGATTTTATACATGTTTAAAAATTACCATATATTATATTATTTGTCTCTTTATAATTATCAGTAAGTGGACTAATAAAAGGTATTATAACTAAACATACAACTAAAAATCTTATTAATCGCAAATAAAAGGGAACATAAATATCAAAACATTATAGGTTAAAAATATTGTATGTACATAATAATTTTAAGTAATAAAGAACAGAATTTACAAAAAATAAAACTCATAATAAATTCCAATTCTTCTGAAACAAAAATCTTACTTTATATGAAAACTTCATCTTTCCTTTACTAATATCAAAAAAATATCTGTTCAATCCACGTGTAAATACATCACATTGATCACATATGGCTACATTTTCATGCTGACGCTCGACGCTCAATTCGAGCGTCAAAACAGGTCACATGATCAAAATTGACGAATATCAAACATTAATTTTAATCACGTGATCTCTTTTGACGCTGAAAATGAGCGTCGAGCGTCAGCATGAAAAGGCAGCCTAAAAATATACGAGTGCTGTATACATACTACGGCTATGATCAAAGTCTCGCTACAAATACTTTGAAGTGTTTAATGGATCAATTAGAAGAAAGAATTTTACAAATGATCAATTTTACACTGATCAATTAAAAAATGCTTCAAAGAGTTTGCATCGCGTTGATCATACCCTGAATTGGTTGCATCATGCAGTTTTAAAGTTCTCCTAGCGAGGACGCCACAAGTGTGATTTTCGTTACAATTTACTGCATTACCGTCGTTCAATTATACAATGAAATAAATGTATTGTATTTTATAAGAAATTATTATCTATTATTTTAATTTATTTTTCTCAAAAATTAATAATGAATTAAAAAGAAATAATTGAAAAAAGTTACATCAACGTATCAATATAATTACAATAGCAAAAATTGACTGCATTCTGCAGAGAAAAAAGCTTTATAATCGTAAAATTCTTCAATATGATAAGTTTTTATATGTTTAGATCTATAAAAAACCAAAAACAAGAACCAATCGTTGAAGAATTTTACAACAGTTGTAAAGCTGCTTCTTTGTTGAATGTTTTTCAGAACAACCATTATATATCAGGGGAAACTATAGCATGGAGTCAAAAAGTAATACGGCAAACGAGAATGGATTAAAATGGATTGAAATTTTTTTCCGAATGCATATTTTAAATAGCGAATATTTTTTTTGGATTAAATTGGATTCAATTAGATTCAATTGGATGCAATTGGATTGAAAAATCGCATTTCCTATTTAAAATTTTGTATTGAACAGTATTCACAATGTGTTTTGTACAGAAAAAGCTAATAATATTATTAGATTGAAAAGCATACAGATATGCTCCATGCAATTTCTATAAATGAATAAAAATGCATTCAGAATTGAAAAGCATTCATTTTAACATTCGTGAATCAATATTTCTGATAATTTGAATCCATTTCAATTTATTTCAATTCATTCTCATTTGCTGGAGGGGAGGGGGGAGGAAAGGGGGAGATATAAGTTGTAAACCTTATATTATAAACCAAATGTACGAGCGTAAGGAAGAGACAGACGTTTGTAATATAAATAATTACAAATTTCTATCTTTTTCATACACTTTCGTATTTCCCAGCAAACGAAATGGATTAAAATTTTTTTAATGCGTGCTTCAAATTCATGAAAATGAATTGAATGGATTGAAATGGATTGAATCCGAATGATACTAGTTTAATATTCGAAAAAAAAACATTCATATTTAAGAGTTACAAATTTTATTCCTAGACATAGACATTTATAATAATTATATCTCATTTATATAATTATATCTAAAATTAACTATTTCAAATTCGTATTAAAAAATGCACCTTAGATTTGAAAACTTAACACTTCTGGGATTATGAATCTTCTACGTTACCCGCTACACTATTTCTTCAATTGGTAAATGTGTTATTCATTCTTTACTTCATTTACAACTAGTTAAATTAGTAACGAAATTACCCAGCAAACGAGAATAGATTGAAATGAATTGAAATGGATTCAGATTTTCAGAAATTCATGAATCCGTATTTCTAAAAATCTGAATCCATTTTAATCCATTTCAGTACATTCTCGTTTGCTTGATTGTTTAAAACATTTTTTTATGTAAGTGTTACAACTTACTCGCGTTATTTTTGATTCCTTTCCTCTAACAATAACAATTAACAAAAACTTTATCAACTTTCGGTAAATTATGAAAAAATATATAATTCTAAAGTTGATAAAACATATCTAATCGGATAACAGAAGACATTAATTAAAATTATGAAAGAACTGCGATTCCAAGAATTCTTATTCAAATCTTTAGACTTGAATAATGGAAACTTGAAATTTTAAAAACATACAAAGTATTAGAAAATCATTTATATATAATTTAGATGAAAAATAATTCTATATAAATTATAAATTTCCTAAAATGTCTATAATTTTTTAAGTCTAAAAGTTAAAACGTGCACAAATTCTCAAAAATTAGTAAAATATAAACATAATTAGATAATAAAAATTAAATGAATTACATTACATAATATACAAAGAAAATTTTTTTACACAAATATTACTACATTTCAATTGAAGTTGAAAGTTTCTTCAGTAAAATGGTGTAATTAGGTCAGGGCTGTAGTACAATTTG